CCTGGGGAAGATCCTCAAGCGCAGAGCCCAGCCTCGGAGCGGCGCCTCCAACCCCTCGGGCCCCGGGCAAAAAGCCATGGCCAAGAGCCTCTTGGGCAGTGTGGGGTCCCTGGAGCCTCGCGGTCCCGGAGAGCTTCACATCCCCACCATTGCCAAGAAGGTCCAGCAGCCAGGCAGCCCCATGGGGCAGTCTCCTACCTCGTCTCCACCTCCCACTGCCCGGAAGATGTTTCCAGGCCTTTCTCCTCCCTCGTTGCAGAAGAAGCTCAAACAAGACCAGCTAAGGGTGGAAATCAAGCGCGAGATGATGTCGGGAGGTCTCCACGGAGACCCCCACCCATCCGACCGAGCCTGGTCCCCGCGGGAGGAAATGTCTCCCCTGAACCTCTGTAAGTGCCTGGTGGCAGCCTTCCCCTGCCTGCGGGCTGAGTGGGACTTGGCTCCCTTGCGGCTGGGGAGGGGACGGGGACGCAGAGGTCCATCTCTCACTGAGATGGGGGCTGAGCCCTCTCCCTGGTCATGCAGCCACCAGGTAGGTGCTTTAGGGCCAGGCGGGAGGGTCCTGGTGGATCAGCACCTTTGGCCATTGGCCCCTCCGAGGGGAGAGATGGGGGCTCCCACGCTGCCGTCGGGACGGGTGCGCGCAGTGACCGCGCTCAAACTCGGGTCTCTCTTACGTTGCAGCTTCGGGGTCGGAGCCGGTGCGAGACATCCGCTGCGAGTTCTGCGGCGAGTACTTCGAGAACCGCAAAGGGCTGTCGAGCCACGCGCGTTCCCACCTCCGGCAGATGGGGGTGACTGAGTGGTCCGTCAACGGCTCGCCCATCGACACGCTGCGGGAGATCCTCAAGAAGAAGTCCAAGCCTTGCGTCATCAAGAAGGAACCTCACGCTTCCAGCATCGAGCCCCCCAAGTCCTTGGGGGAGGAGGGGACGGACCCCAAATCCCCTGGGAAAATGCTGTCGGCCATGGGCCTGCCTCCCCTGGGCGGCCGGACGGGGAAACCCAACCCCGGCGGCTCCAGCGTAAGCCGGGAGATCTCGCTGTCGCCGCT